TTTGCATGAAAGACCACCCTTTTCCAAAAACGGTAAATTATCGAACTATAGCTGGGCCATGGCTTCCATTTCAGATCATCACAATATATAACAGTGTATCCTATCCCATTACCTCACCATATATTCCCACTATATTCCCATGGTTATAATCATTATCCCATTTTCATGATCATTATTCCCATTACATATAGTAATGATTAGCTAATGATTATCTGATATAATAGTATGCATATATATATATATGTATTATCCAATCATAGCACCATATATTGCCATTATATGATAGTCCCATGATTATCACCATTGTCCGTCCCCTTATAACTTATAGTGGCTAAGCCATGCTGGGAGGCCGTCGCGCCTCAGGCAGTCATCGCCAGAGCCGGAGGCTGGGCAGTTGCTGAGGTATTGCTCACCTTAGCGTCCGCGGAGGAATCTGCCGAGGACCAGCAAGGTTTCATCATATGAAATTTGTTGCCATTTTACAGCCATCTTATAATACATATATCATATAATATGTATATATATATATACTGTACATATATGTCCCCTTCTAGCTATTGCAAGTGGGAAATTGTTTAATAGTATGGATGTGTACATATATATATATACATGCGCATATATACATACAGATGTGTACATATATTTATATATATATATACATATATAGATGTGTACATATATATATATATATACATATATGTATATGTATATATATATATACATATACATATCAATATATTTATATATACACATACACATATATATGTACATATATATATATATAAATCTATACATATATACATATATACATATATGTACATATATATATATATATGTATGTATATATATATATACGTATGTATATATACATATACATTTGGCTCTGCCTCGTGACACTAACAGTGACCACAATTCATACCACAAAAAAAAAAAACAAGAAAAATCAGATTGTAGTCCCCAATATGACTTACATTCCCCCTTAATAAGGCTAGATGACCAGTCATATTCCCTGCAAGTTGGCTCCAGGCACATTTTCTTGCCATGCCCAGAAGTCCTTACTGTCAAAATTCGACATTGGCATTTCCAATGGGATGCCTCATGCATCCCGCTTGTCAGCACCTTGTGGGTAGCGATGCTGCTGATTGCAAAGCAATACTGTTTAGGGTTTCGGATGCTGCCCATTGCAGCGATGATGGCAAAGCAATACTGTTTAGGGTTTAGGATGCTGCCCACCACAGTGCCGATGGCAAAGTAATGCTGTTAGGGTTTAGGATGTTGCCCATCGCAGCGCCGATAGCAAAACAATAGAATGTAATGTGTGTGTACAATACATATAAAGGCCGGGGCTGCTGGACTGACCCTGGGCAAGGCCTGGGGGCTGAGCCGGGGAACGCTGGGGGACTAGAGGCCTGGCGGGCTGGCTGGCTGAGGGGGGGGCTGGAGCTGGGCCGGGCCGGCTGATTGGAAATGCTTTAAAAGCAGCGACTTTCCAAAAGCAGAACAAAACACCAAAAAAAACAAAAAAAAACACGAAAAAAAAGCAGAAACTGAAACAGGAAAAAAAAGGAAAATGACTTTGTTGTTTTTGTGCTTTTTTTGAAGTATGAATTGTGGGTGTTTTTGTGTTTTTTTTGTGGTATGAATTGTGGTTTTGTTTGTGCTTTTTTTTGTGGTATGAATTGTGGTTTTTTTGTGCTTTTTTTGTGGTATGAATTGTTGTTTTTTTTGGTGCTTTTTTTGTGGTATGAAGTGTGGTTTGTTTGTGCTTTTTTTGTGGTATGAATTGTGTTTTTGTTGTGCTTTTTTTTGTGGTATGAATTGTGGTTTTTTTTGTGCTTATTTTTTTGGTATGAATTTTGTCTCTTTTTGGTGCTTTTTTTGTGGTATGAATTGTGTTTTTTTGGTGTTTTTTTTGTGGTATGAATTGTTGTTTTTTTTGTGCTTTTTTTTTGCGGTATGAATTGTGTGTTTTTTGTGCTTTTTTTTTGTGGTATGAATTGTGTTTTTTTTGTGCTTTTTTTTGTGGTATGAATTGTCTGTTTTTTTTGTGCTTTTTTTGTGGTATGAATTGTGGTTTTGTTTGTGCTTTTTTTTGTGGTATGAATTGTTGTTTTTTTTGTGCTTTTTTTGTGGTATGAAGTGTGGTTTTTTGTGCTTTTTTTGTGGTATGAATTGTGTTTTTGTTGTGCTTTTTTTTGTGGTATGAATTGTGTTTTTTTTTGTGCTTATTTTTTTGGTATGAATTGTGGCTTTTTTTGGTGCTTTTTTTTGTGGTATGAATTGTGTTTTTTTGGCGCTTTTTTTTGTGGTATGAATTGTGGTTTTTTGTGCTTTTTTTTGTGGTATGAATTGTGTTTTTTTTTGCTTTTTTTTTGTGCACAAAAAAGCACGAAAAAAATCAGCATTTCTTTGGAAAAAATGAATCTCAGGCCTCCTGCCCTCGACAGCTTTCGGACCAGCGGCCCAGCAAATGTCTCACACCATTTCCTTTTTCCAACCTCCTTTCCAAAAAAAACTCTCAGGAGTGAGCCCATGCCAGGAGCGGGAATGTGAAAAATGTAATTATCATATGGTGTTTATTAAGAACCTCAACAGCTATTGTTGGAGGCACGCCTTTGTAACGCTTTTCACTTATAGCTTACAATGGTTGGACCGTTTGATTGCAGTATCTCGGTATCTCAGGTATGCTGCATTCAATATTGTAAAGAACGTCATGAGTCATCATATCGTATCATAATATCGATGCAACACCTTGCATCATCATACCATATCATTGCCATTGCTATTTGACACACAAATATTCAGATAAACAAAGTGGTGTCAGCTGTCAGACTTCACAGAACCATTCCAACGTTCCAACCATCAAAGGATATCAACAGCAACATCGATACTTTGATTTTGGCTAGTTGATGACAAGTTCAGCAAGCATGTCCTGATGGCTCCAACAATATGGCGCAATACAAACGGATGTTCGTTAAAATGATTTAAATGGTTTAACCACAAACAATGCCACCTCAAAGGTAGTGATGTTGTTGCATTCACTACTCCACCCTTTGTTACTTGTACGGCCCACCTAGATCACATTTTCTCCTAAGCAGACCCTAAGGATCCCCTAAAATAGCCTGAGTTACCACCAATATGATTGTGCTCTTTTGGTATGTGGATTATAAAGGGGGGCAGTTTTGAACTGTTAGTGGGGGGGCAGCCCCAAAAATATACACATATACGTATATATATATACAGTATACATATCTATACATATATCTATACATATATCTATACATATATCTATACATATATCTATACATATATCTATACGTATATATATAATCTATTCACACATATATAAATATATCTTTACATGTATATATAATATATCATGTATATGGATGATGTGGTTACCCACTTACTGGAATAGGAGAAGATCTTCGCCTAAAACCGCGGAGGTGTGTCCAGCGACTGTTGCCTCAAAATAACCATCAAGAAATGCGGATGTATTGGGGATTTAATATATTTAATGGGATTTAACAGGATGTTGTAGGATTTTCCCTCTGGTGATTAAACATAGCTTTTTTGGCTATAGAACATCACCACCTATTTGATCGGTAAATCATCGAACTATAGCTGGGTGGCTTCCATAGCTAACAAATTACTGGAGGGTCAATAAAATCCTGCAAATGGCTTTCTGATCATCCAGCAATCGCGGCAAAATTTCACTGCAAAATTCAGAAAACTCTTTGCTTCAGTCAGTCCCCATCTTTTGTTTGTCGGTCAGGTGATTTACCCTCTGGTTATTTAACATAGCCATGGAAAATGGCCCATTTATAGATGGTTTACCTATTAAAAATGGTGATTTTCCATGGCGATGTTAAATAACCAGATGGTAATTTTTCTCCGTGCCCACTGTTGTTTGTGCCATCTCTACTTTTCAGGTAAGGTGCATTCCCACAACCACCCGTGCCCCCGGTCCACAATTGTCCACATTCCCCTAATAAGCACCAAATATGTGTGAATCCCTATTAGACCGTGATTCCTGGTGTTTAACATTAGGGAGAAGGATTAATGTTCATTACTTTTGTCCATGTGTTTTCAGTCGTGATACATCGCAGATTCTGCATTACATTCCAGTTGTTGGCATTTCTGTATTGCTTTGCTTAGATCCACTTTTCAATTGACATGCACTCCATCGGCGGCGCTCCATCTTCAGTGGGGGATACTCCCTGAAATTTTCAAAAAAAACTCCTACTGGAGAAATCTCAATCAACCGGCAAACTAGTTGGCACCTCCGGCCCCAGCCAGGTGGTTGGTCAGGGCTTCGCCCTTCTCGTGGATGGCGGCCAGCACCCTGCGTCCCGTTGATCCCATATCATCGATTGGAAAATCGACAGGAAATGATGGTTTTTACATCCTCCCTTAGTATTACCTAGGAACCTTTGAAAACTTTGACCCCCCCCATTCTATCGGGAAATGTGGGCTACAAAATTGGAAGCTAGGGTAGTTACCAATACGTCCTATCTATAAATTTCCCTTAAACTAATTCCAGTATATTTGGGGAAGTAGAGTATATAGTCTCAAAACATATTTCAGCAATAAACCCATGGGATACCTGGTATTATCCTCTATGATTTTTGGTTGGTATCATTATCCCAATGGATTCTCCCAACAAATCCATGAAATGTGGATCTGACTCTGACTATAAAACAGTGACAAATTGAACCGGTTCTATCCCGTTGGGATTTACTATATTGTACCATATGATTCTACCATTGGGGTTAGCTGTATATTATGGCAAAACTGTGGCTATGGGGTGATTTGTGGCAATGGAAATCAAACATGCTTTGCGTCGTACCCCCATTGATGATGTTCGCATTGAAACCTCTATCGTGGATGTCCCCTTGCCGACTATCGAAGGGCACAGTAACCATCAGTCTTCGAGTTTGATCACCCAGGGTTTGTCTGAAGATGTATGGGAAAACACCCCAAAATTTGATGGTTAATCACCACTGTCCGTACTATTGCCACAACTAAGTGTCTAGGCGCGCCATTTCCAGCTAGAATGGTTTTTCCTATTGATTTCCCCTCAACCCCTGTGTGATGTTGCTTCCTTGGCTGATTGGTTGGGGGTTTCAAATATGTTTATCTGATGTTGTTTGTCCCTTATGTAGCAAACCCAATCATAGACCATCCCAAGGACTTTCTGACAGGCATTCCCAAGAGCCGTTAGCTTTGTGATTGATTGAGTTTACCACATGATCCTCGCATTTTATTGGTGAAAAATCCCCGATTAACATTCCGTTTTGGTGAAATTAAATCCGTGACCCAAGAAAAAAATTGGTTACCGCAGCATGATCATATTTTTATCACCCATCATTAATTGATGCTGGTCTAAAAGATCGTGATGTTCCCATATATTTGCCCGCATGATTCCATATGTTCATGATCAGTGGTCTCAAAAATTGTAATTTTACCAATGTGTTTTCCCATGTTGTTCCCACATGATCCTATAGTTATCCCGTATGTTTCCCATATCATTTCCATATTTTCCTATACGTTTCCCATATGTTTCCACATGTTTCCCAGATCATTCCCATAGTTTCCCGCTGGTTTAGCCACGGTTCCCCTCCCGCGCCTGGACTTCTGCCAGGGTTCCAGGTCCAGTTGGTGGCCCTCCGTTAAGGCGGCCAGCTGCACCACGCGGTTCCACAGAAAGTCCTCATCCCTGGTCTCCTGGGAAGAATATAGGAATCATATGGGAATCATATGTTAATCATATGGGAAAAATATGGGAATCATATGGGGAAACACATGGGAAAATGACGATTTTTGCATGAACAATCTGGGAATCATATATAAGAAAATAGGTCTCATACGGCTGAGGGATACCCCGCAGCTATTACAAACGAAACTGAGTACGTCTGGAACTACACTGTAGCTACATGGAGCATGAAGTTGAGTGAAGTACTTTGGGTTATATAGATACTAAAACAGTCTTTTTACAACGGTGTCTGATTACATGTGAGCAAGTTTGCAAGGATACATCATCCTGTACATCTCTACGAGCAAAGATTCTGCACACCCAAGGTTTGAAGCTTTAAGATCAGTGTACGGAAAGCCGACAATGAAGGTTTGTACAGTTGATGGATGTGTACAATTTCACAATACAGTTCTATTGGAACATGTTTTCTTACTTCAGTTTCAAGTCCATGCTGCAGCTGAGGCAGGGTGTTAAATGTACATCTGCACATGTACATGACAGTTACAGTTCCTGTTACAACATGCTGCTATTGACTGTGTACATATCATGGCTCGTTACATTCAGGGCCCTCGAGCATCTACAGTGAAAACTACAGCTGATGGGCTACAGCTGCTGAGGGTACAAGAGATTACAGAGTGAGAGATTGGTCAGTTGATCATCATCATCATCATCATCATCATCATCATCCACGTCGTCTTCATCTTCATCATCGTCATCATCTTTATCATCATCCTCTTCTTCTTCATCATCATCTTTATCATCTTTATCATCTTCATCATCTTCATCTTCTTCGTCATCTTCATCATCTTCCGGGTTTGCACCAACGCTTGCCGCAACAATAGATCCTAAATCCTTGGGGACCGGCGCATAATTACTTCAACAAGAATATCCACCTCCCAAATACGCCCCAAGCAAATCCAAACATCATTGCGTTGGAAGGGAAAATGTACAGGAAGCCATGGAATTTCCCCTTAAATATAGGGGGTCCTGAGGGTCCTGCAATTTTTGTTCCCTTCACCATCCAATTTTCAGAAAACGTCACCAAGTTCCAGTGACTCCTCCCACAAGTCGCAGCTTTCCATGCGATGGTTCAGCACCAGCCATTGCAGGTCCTAGCCGCGGACCCTTGGGCATTGGAAGAACAGCCTTTGCCGATTTCACCAGAGTTGCTATGAATCTTGCACAATTGGGTGACCTTCATCCTCCTTCATCCTTCAGTTCCAGTAGATATCTCTGAGCAAAGCCATAGTTACTGGGACTACCCCAGTGGGTGGTCATAGTTCCACGTTCCATCCCTGGCATCTGTGGCAGCAGTCACCCCCGAGCTGCGCGCCTTTTTGGCCAGGTCCAACAATTTCGGGGCCAATTTCCTGGGAAGTCATGCTTTAAGACCCACTGAAATTCCATGGTTCCATGGTGAAGTTTTAGTCATGGTGAAACTAATGGTCAATAACTCATGCTGAAAAACTTTCATGGTGATTTTTGGTAATGCTGCATGATAAGGAATATGGTTAAGAACTGGGTTCTTGAAATTGGGTTGCCACTTTTCAGCGTTGGCTCCCTCTGTCAAAAATGATCAAGAACTTCGAGGACCTGGGATACCCCATCTTAGGAAACCCCAGAACAGAGAGAGAGAGAGAGACGGAGAGGTAAATTATTCGTTGTGAATCTTAAAGAATTGATTTTTGAGCGTCTTTTCTACTGATTGCTCTTTGGTTTACAAAGTGAACAGTTTGTGTTTAGGATTGAGCAGGTTAAAAAAAAAACACCGTAAATAGCTCTACCTTTGAAGGCAAAGCGTCGCACATACCGTTTTCTTAGTCGTGTAAGCACAAAAACATTGAAATGTGTGGTGTTTTTTTGGCTAGTCGAAGTTCCATTCTACCGCTATTCAGGCGTTTTTGTCACGGTTGGGGCAAGATCATTTCTTAAAATAAATATCGTTATCCTCTGGTAATTTAACATAGCTATTGAAAATCACCATTTATAGTGAATTTTCCCATTAAAAATGGTGATTTTCCATAGTTATGTTAAATTACCAGAGGGTATCCTCGACAATGTTGACTATTTGTTGGGGGTACACATCTAGTATGGTTGACGTGTGTGTTTACAACAGTACCAAACCGTCTGAGCCGTGTTCAAAACCCTGTGTTGTCTAAAAACACTGGTTGGCTAATAAGGATTCCCCAAGTGGATTGTGATATTCCCCATTATATTGGTTAGTATAATCCCTCATAATCTGCGGTAGCAATGTCATGGTCGTGTCAAGACACGGGAAGAGTGTGGCAGCACGCATCATCAAACGTGCTCGCAGAGCGGGTCCTGCACTTCCAGCTCCAGTGTAGCAACCAAAAAAAATAGAATGTTCATTTACCAATATTTACCACATGTTTAATAGGATTGCCTATGATTTGCAATTGTTCATTAGATTGGGTTTGGAATCTACCAAATTCCAATCTTCTTGGCGATTAGCATGGATCCCTATCATCAAAGGTGGGGAAGACTCCCAAGCTTATGTGATGTTTGTTCATTGTTCCTTTTTTGATATGTTAAATCATGGACCTTTCAGTGCCATGTTAGGTTCCCAGAGGGTAAATGGTTCATACTTGAGGCCTCATGAAATATCCCAGGATCATCCACATTGCCTCGTAGAAACTCATGTTAGTTGGTTTATATAATCAGTCAGACCCACATTGACATGGGTTTGACCATGTTTGCCTGCAAAAGGGATAGTCAAAAAAGACATGCTTTGTCATCATCTTCCCCAATAAAAAGGACATATGGGAGTATACACCCGTTTCAGACACATCCACAATGCCTACAACGGATAATGTCCAAGCAGAAAGTGCAGGATGTAAGCCGCATCACTCTGGGACAAAACGGTGTTTCGCTGCTTGGGTCTTACACCAAACCTAAGGGTATGCTAAACTGCTACCCAAAGCATCGACCAACCATTGCCCAGCTTCAACTGATATCTTTTGCGCAGTGGTTCATCATTCCCGATCCACCAAAGAAAAGATCTCCAATATCCCCAAGGGCCCAATCCCTACCCAGTCCATCGGTTTGCGGACGGCACCATCCGCCTTTGTAAGGTTCCCCATCAAAGGTCCATTTGGGCTCCAAGAACGCTTCCTTCCGCAAGACGGAAGGTTATATCAATGGTAATGTACCATATAAGGCCATGTTTTGTGGTGATATTCCCTTACATAGGCCTCATATAGGCCTTATATATATATGGTAGGTACCTTCATTTTAGGATCCTGAACTTCCCATTGATGATATTGGACTGGACAATCCTCTGGCTACGAGCGGTGTTACTTGTAGGGAATGATGAGATTGAAATATTTGAAATGGCGAAGTAACATGGCTTGATCGATTTTCACACTCGTGTTACTTTTACAATCAAACTATTGTAAACTGTGACATTTATTGTAAAATCTACATTCCATTGAAATCGATTTTCCAATGGAAAACTATGACAAACTGTGGTTTACTGAGATCAAAACTGTGGTTTATTCCATGGTTTATTGAGATCAAACTGTGACATTTTACCATGGAATGGACATACGAATATGACAATCCACTGGATCCGACATGATCCGAGAAATTTTTTAGGGACCATGTCTTGCACCATCAGCTTCCAAGAATCTCCCGGACATGTACCAGACCACATGATGGCCATAACCACCATTGGTTACAATTATATATATATATATATACATAATTGTAAATATAATTATATATATATATATATTTGGCCCAAGCCAACCAAAAAAGAACATCAATTTCCCAAGAGTTTCCCCTTGGAAGTTGACAACCCCCAGTTTCCCCAGTTTCCGAACCATCCATCCCGACCTCCGAAGCGTCAAGGACCTGCACGTTCCCTGCAGGTTCGGTGCGTTGATGCGAACGCGACACCCAATCGGCGAAGGCCGCGACGCTCTTCTCCACCACTTCCCTCCTGGAGGGATCGCGTTGAAGTCATGGAGTCACTGTGGCTGAAAATGGATGTTTTTGCGGAGTATATCTGTAGTTAATGGGATCTATATCACCAATTAATGGGTATATCATGATCTTATAATATAAGTGGCATTTAATGCTGATTTAACAGGACATTATGGAGATGTTGGGGAAATGTGCTACCCTCTGGTCATTTAACAGCTTTAACAGCTACGGGTCCAATACATCTCCAAGAAAAAACCGACCCCGGCAGTAACCCCGGCAGCCACTTAGAGATGGTCTCAGAAAGGGACTCCTTTCATTTGGGACTTGGAATATGCTCCAGAGATATGTTCAAAACATCTTGGAGGATAAAATATAAGTACTATAACTCTATGAAGTAACTCAATTATGTAGTTGTTGCAGCTAAGACGAACTATGAATGAAAACAGCCGAATGTTTCAGTCGGTTCTATGCCCAGATTCACGGGTTGGAAGATCTACCACTCCCGTCCCCCATTCATATTAAACACCCCCATCCTATTGTCCCAAAATATGTGTTTTTTATCCCCTACCAACCCATGGTTTCATGGTCTTGTTTTTACACCAACTGTTGCGACCAGACATCACCACAAAAAGGTGGTCAGAACCACCAGGCAGAAGATATGTTGGTGATGTGTGTAAAACAATGTTATAAACCACCCGTGACTGGGAATGGTAAACATACCACCTATAAAAATGGTGATTTTGGGGGGATGGTTATGGCATTGTTCTACCCACATTGTATATTTTTTCAGACAGAGTACCCAACAGAAGGTGCGACAATATAGTACTGTAAATACATGTAAATACGTACTAATATCTTGGTAAAAAGCTGTGACGTTCTCTGGCCCTGAATCTTTGACCCATTCCAGTCAAAAGATTGAACCCCTACCTTCAGCCAGGAGAGTTTAGGAGGACCCCATTAAATAAGAATCATCGAAACTGCATGAAATTGCAATTTCGGAGTAAATCGCCCATTTCTGTACAAATCCATGTTCTCCTAACCAACCGTCTGTGGAAACTGAACATGAATCGAATCGAGGAATCGGCTCCTGAGTCTATGATGCTGATGCTTCATCTGGCGGTGGAGGCTGTTGCTCCGGTTTCCCAAAGAATCCATGATGTGCATGGCACAAACCCGGATGACCAGCAAACTATGAGATTCACCAACCAGGATTTGATGTCAATTCTTGAGCTATCCCGATCAACCATAATTCAACCATCATGATGAGGATCACTGTGATGTTGTTTAGAGTTCGCCCAAATCTATCTTCTGTTTTGAAGGTTCCAGGCAGTTCCAGGTGGCCATTTTTGCAGATGGGGCCCAAAGATCTCTGCATCTGACAGGCGTTTCCACTGTTTTTGCGCTAAGATAATCATGTTTCTCCACGCTTCCAGTGCCTGAAGGAAGGCTGGTTCAACATCCGAGCCGTTGGTAAGCAAGCTGGGTGGCCTGACAACCATGGCTTTGAGACGCCACACATGCTCCATTTATTGCAAGGAAACTAAATGGATTCTGCAGGGGGCCTTTCCCAACACATTTTGCGACATTTGGGTATGGATCAATACCTATTAATACCATTTTTAGGGGATGAACATCCATTTACCAGCTATTTTGATGTTCACCAGGGGTACAAGGTTTTGACACACTGCCATTTGAGACAACAACTTCTTTGGGTGTGCCACAAATGTCTAACTCATGCCGCATGCCACTTCTCTTTGTGGAGCCTAAGCAAAATCTGAGCATTTCTATCACCCCTCATGGCAAATATCCCCTCCATATGGGCCCCGTTTCTTTTCATAGATCCAATCCTAAGCCCAGGTGTTTCTGGATGTTTCTGGCTATCTGCTTGGGAAACTCAATTTATAGCTGCAACTGGTTCCCCATGGCTTTTGTTGGGGAACATGGAAACTCCCGGCTCGGCTCACCACTCCCAAGCACCAGGTTATATATTCGCCACGCCACTCGAGCTGCTGCAATACGGTCAGCAGACTCAAGGAAGCATCGCGGGTCCAGTGATACCCGTAGGGCATCTTTGTTGTGATACCGCAGCATTCCACCCTGCAAGTTTTGTCATCTTTGTCCAAAAATGGTGGCAAAATCACCACATCAACTGATAAATCATCAGTCCCCCTTTTCAGATATCCATGAAATAGAGATATTACCAAATTATATGATCCAAATTAACGGATCCAGAAGGCTCCAATAAGTCAGTATGGATGGAACGCTGTTAGCGAATTGTCCTGGCCCGTCAGGCGGCCGAAACAAATAGGACTGTCTCTCGAAACCATGACAGGCTATACAACCTTTTACGTCGTCCTGACAAGAATATAAAGTCCACAGTAGATTTCATGGGCCCTTTCTTGTTGAACGCCACAACACACTAGAGTGTGGGGAATTGTGGAGGTACTGTTAAAAGACCTTGTGCTTGCCTTGAGGATTCCTGAGTTATTGCGTCCTTAATGCGCAATAACCATGGCGTGCCATATTGGGCTCTAGCTGCACACCTTTTACTCACGGCCAATAGCCAGTCGATGTGGTGTCTACAGGATTACTCTATATCTCTCTTGAGCCTTCACAGCGCATGTAAAGCGTGCTCAATACTCATGCTATATCCACATAGGATCCAGCCCAAAAGAAAAAACAGAGGGTAACCCCGCATACCATATGGGGTGGGGGGGCGTGAACACGAGACATGGGACCATATATGTACATATGTGTATATATATATATATATATATAGATATAATTATATATACATAGTGATACAATGATATATATATATATGTACATATATCTATATATATATACATATATATATATATACATAGTGATATATTTATATCTATAATGTATATATTCACATTAATGGTTTCGTGCATATAGGCCAAGGTTCAGTGCCGGACAAGGCCCCGGCGAAGCGATCACCGCGCCCGTGCCATTCCTTGGTACGGAGATTCATCCCCAGAAATCTGGTTTTTCATGGGTTTTGATTTACCTGCATATATATATATATATTTATATATATATATTATCATCATCATTATTAAATTATTATTATTATTAAGAAAAGAATGTTGTTATTATCCATATTAATAGTATTATTATTATTATCATTTTGTACACACACACACATGATTATATGCATCATTGCGTTAATGTGTAAAGGTAGGTAAGTGTGTATGTGGCTAGATGGAGTCATACCCCAACTCCAACCGGCTCAGTTTCAATTACCGCGAGCAACACGACTGGTTCCACGGTGCCGATGCACCGCCCCTTAAAATCAAAAGGTCCAACATGTGAAGTCAAGTAGCACATTAATGTTCGCTTCAAAAAGTTCCCACAGGCCCTTCTCCTCCGCATCACTGAACGGAGGCTCCTGCCACAAAGTTTGCCCAGCGAAAATGGGGCGGACTATGGTGGACTGCTTCATGTGCGAAAAACTGTCTATATAGAATGCAGGTGCTGTCGTTTTCAACACTCCAAAGTATGGGAGTGAAAGTATTTCACCTCAGAGTTTCAAGATCCAAACAAAAAACTCAACAGCTTTCACCTGCCCGGTCCCTTTTATGACTCTTTCTTTGACCCAAAAAAAAAAACCTGCCGGTATCCCCAAGATACCCCCAGTCACCCCGCTCCTTCAGTGGTTCCTCCAGGCGTAAAAAGCAGCTCTTGCTGCTGGCCACAGCCAGCAACGATGCAATCAGTCTCCGCTGAACCATCACTGTTGTTTTTTTAAATCGGTTCGGTCGGGTTGAGCCAACTGGACATTTTTGCGGACCGAGTTCGGTGGCACATGAGCCAAGAAAACATCTAACACTTGGCTGTCTTCCATCTTCTCAACTTGGAAGTGACACAATCCGAAAGCTGCCACAATCTGTCATACAGCATCACTTTTGCGGGGGCCATTGAATGCCACACTTTTCTGTGGACGTTGCAGTTGCAGACGTTGCAGTCTGAATGATCCTATCAGATTTCCTAAGGAGTCATAATATCACAATACAAATCGCAAAGCCACACAGTGCCATGTATAGCCCCATGCCATGGAACCACTAGAGCACCAAGGGGTGCTCCAAATGGTTCAGTTCCAACGAGCTCTTCATCCTGCACCTCCCGCGCGTTTCATGGTTTTTTCACCGGCGCAACGGCGCAACGGCGCAACAACTCGCGAATGTCCAGGTCCAGCAGTGCGGCAGATTCACCTGGTGATTTGGAAAGAAAACGCTGCCTGGGTGGGGTGAAGCAGTCCGAATGCTAATTTGGACTGGGGATTTGGTGGTACAAATTAGGTCACCAAATGTGGATTCCTGCTGAATTTGATCCTGCGTATACATTCCACAAATTTTGCTATTCGTGTGTACCCACTTGTTGCTGAAATAGTCCTGTGTCTGTTGGCTTGCCCAGTTCAGCAAATTCCTATGTCTGCAAGGTATTTCTGATTGAAGCATTCCTTTTTGGGCATTGCAGCTTCGTTCGCCAGCGTTTTTCCTATGCCGGCCCAAGGCTTTGGATCCTTAAAGAAACCCTACAGGGCCGCACACCTCCACGGCGTGCCCTCAGGGCACCCAGCACATTGCCAGCCATGGCATCCTTCCCTCTCGTAAGCAGACTGCCTCACGAGAACGCCATGGTGTCATGGCCAAATGATGTGGGATACATTGCAATATTTCAATATTTCATGGGGATATCACTTCTGGGATATATATATATATGGGTATATGGGGTCTGGTAATCTTTATCAGTTGGCCATAATTGAATTCCCAGAAAAAAAATGTTCATATGACCATCCCCAAATTTCACACCTCAGACCGAGTGCTGAAAAAACCCTCAGCCGGTTGGAGGGTCTCTCTACTTCCGTGTCGACAGACTGTCTGAGGTTGACGGCTTGGATTGGGTCATTCAGCATCATTCAGCTGTTTAAGAATCAAAGGATGAAAAACAGGAGACAAGGCATATCAAAATTTTGGTCTAGGCCTGGCACTTGCCGACGTCAAAAACTCGTGTACCCAAAAAGTGAGGTCGCGAAAAAAGCACTATCAAAATCTCCCAGCATTGACTCAACATCTTCAAAAGTACCCAAAATCTCCCAAATTCCTCAGTCCATCTGTGTGTTTGTTTGGTTCTTCAGCCACGACCCCTCCCTCGAAGACGGCACCGTCATCAGTGCAGCTCTCACGGCCGCGTGGTGGCAGGTGCAGAGGACCAAAAGAAGCCGCCTGCAGCCAGGCAAGGGGTTGGTTTGAGTTTAAGTGTTGTTCCAATCCTGGTACCTAGTGAACCCCAAAATAGCTGGTAAATGGATGTTCATCCCCCTAAAAATGGGATTAATAGGTATTGATCCATACCCATATAAGTTTCAGGGGGTTGATGATTTTGCAGGAAACTAGTGTTCCGAAGCCCCTGCAAAATGGTCGTCTTCCAGGAATGAAAAATTGTGTTTTTTTACTGAAAAAATAGGAGTTGAGCCACTAAACAAATGGGATGCCACCCAAAATGGGAAGTTGATCACTAAACATTGGGGATTCACAACCAGCCAAAATGTGGAAATTCTGATGATCTGGGGCCATTTGATGTAAGTCATGTCGGTGGGATCCTGCGTTTTTGGCAGCCTCGACATTCTGCTGTGCTGGGGCCCTTCAAGATGCCAAGGGTTTTGGTTGACCAAAAACAGCTTAGCTGATAGCTATGGATGTCTTCTTGGCCCAAACTGGTGGTTTCAATTCTGGGCATGATCCGTTCCTTTGCCCTTTGGCCCCCCCAAACAACCGATTTTTCTGGGCCTGGGGGCTTCCGATTGGACTGGCCGCCGGCAAAATCTCACCTGGAGTCTCAAGTTGATGGCCCCTTTTTTTGCCTGAAAAATGGCCATCTCTGAAGGCGGTCAATTAGCAGTCGCTTCCTAAGATCTGTGACCGATTTCGGACACGATAAGACTTGCCAGAATCTTCACCCAAATTTGCCAGAATCTTGCAAAGAAGTGGCCTCGAGGGCTGATGCCTTTGAACGGTTTTTTAGAGGTCACCAAACCACACAACCGGTGACAGACTTCCTGCCACACAAGACAAAAACTCACTGTTGAGAGTCAAAATCTGCTTTTGGAACTGATCCTGGGTATCAAAAAATCTCGCTCAAATCTCCCAAAATCAAAAAAAACTTGGCACCTCCCCTGCTTCCCATCTACCAACAAACGCTACCTCTGGGTGCTGCTTTCAGCCGCTCCACCACCAGCTCTTCCTCATCCGGCTCTGCGAAACTGCCGCGTGGCCGCATGGGCGAAGGCACCTTGGATGAGCGAAGTTTGAGATTTTTGGCGCAAGTCGTAGTTGCTGTTTCATCCAAAAATCCATCGCCAAAATCATAAAATCTGCACCTAAGAATAAGAAAATCTGAGTGTTGTCATCCAAAAATCCATAAAATATGCCTTAATCACCGCAGGATATGTTGCAGTGCATCTACCCAAGTCTGGCATTCAAACTCTACCAGGCCTCGTATTCGAAACCCTTCCAAAGAGGCTAGGCCCGGCTAGGCATCTGGGTTATCCAACTGGACAAAAGTCCAAATTAGCACCCCCAAGATTGTCCTCGAATAATTCCTAAACTCTTCAAGATGCCCAAACCCAGCAATTTCTGTGGTTCCGAAGCGTTTGACCCACCCCCCACCGGGAGAAGTCGCACCTCATGCAGTCTGTCAAGGAGGTCGTCCTCCAGGAAGAAGTCCAAGTACAGATCCAAGTCACTTTGGACCTGTCGAACTGGAAGGGGATGGTCCCCACCGCTTGGCCCTGTGAAGCAATTCGTTTTGATAGTTGAAGGGACCACTTGGTGTTTGGAGGAATGTAAATTCTCAGCACATCAGGCCCAATGACACCAGTTCCATCAAGTTCTCAGCAGACTCGTTTGAAAAATGGGGCCCCCAGTTTTAATCTGTTTTACAGCTAAAGCCATCTAACAGCAGAGCAGTCTCCACCTCACGGCCAAAGTTATAAACCAACTTACCTATAGACTAACTTACCTATAAAAGTTATGGAATCCAAGATATCCATCCTTGTAGTGGTTAGATCCCTATTTTCAGAGGCGAAATACTAATGTGGGTAAAACAATAATAAACGACAGCATGTTTGATGGTTTATACCACCCATTTATGGTGATTATGGGGATGGTTTATCATTGTTTTAACCACATTATCAATGGATTGGTTTAAGGGAAAATTTTCAGGAAAGCCCCATATTTAATGGGAAAATCTATGGTTTCCTGTAGATTTTCCCTTAAACCAATCCATTGACATTATTTCTAAATGGAGGCCCCCCGTAGCCAACTGCCAGATCGCCAAGATGCGTAGTGATCTAACAACCTCGCTCCCATCGCCGGGTCCATCTTGGAACGGCGATGAAACGGCGGCCGAAAAACGCTGACCTGGCGGCCAAATGGTCCGGGCAAGGTGCAAGCTACGGCAATTGAAAACCGTCATTGTTCATGATGTAAGTGTGCATGTGTATGTTTAGATATGTATATACAGTATATACACAATAAATATATATATATAGTGTATGTATATATATATATATATGTATATGCATATATATATATACACTGTATAAAAATCAAGTGTGAATATGTATATATATATACCCGCAAAACCCCTGTCTCGCCGTCGCCAAAATTGTCATTCGTCCCGTTCGAATTTTGCTCCTCGTGCAGGCGAAACGCGCTTTTTTCTTTTTTTAATTTCAAAAAGATGCATTTTGACCTGCGGCCACCAATGAAATTGAGCACGTCCATTTTGCGTGGCAGGCGCAGTGTTTTATGACCTTGCAAAAAATCGTATTGCATTTTCGCTGGCAGGCGCGCGACTTTTTGCGTTTTTGGCACGTTCTGGATGGTTTCTTTTTTGTGCTTTTTAGCTGGTTGTGGTGCCGCTTCCTTCATTCGGGGAGGGGTGGGGGTGGGGGCATAATAAGGTCCTTTCGTTCCCGTCCAATGATGTTACGTTCTTGCCTTTCTTCTCTAGATCTTATGGTTGTGACGCCGCTTCCTTTATTTGGGGGGGTTGGGTTCCGGGGGGGTGGGGGTGGGGTGGGGGTGGGGGCATAATAACGTCCTTTCGTTCCCGTCCAATGATGTGACGCTCTTGACTTTCGTCGGTTTTATGTTAAGACGTTAGTGATGTTACGCTCTTGCTTTTCTTCGGTTTTATGTTAAGACGTCAGTGATGTTACGCTCTTGACTTTCTTCGGTTTTATGTTAAGACGTTAGTGATGTTACGCTCTTGATTTTCTTCGGTTTATGTTAAGACGTCAGTGATGTTACGCTCTTGATTTTCTTCGGTTTTATGTTAAGACGTCAGTAATGTTACGCTCTTGACTTTCTTCGGTTTTATGTTAAGACGTTAGTGATGTTACGCTCTTGATTTTCTTCGGTTTTATGTTAAGACGTCAGTGATGTTACGCTCTTGACTTTCTTCGGTTTATGTTAAGACGTCAGTGATGTTACGCTCTTGATTTTCTTCGGTTTTATGTTAAGACGTCAGTGATGTTACGCTCTTGACTTTCTTCGGTTTTATGTTAAGACGTCAGTGATGTTACGCTCTTGACTTTCTTCGGTTTATGTTAAGACGTCAGTGATGTTACGCTCTTGATTTTCTTCGGTTTTATGTTGAGACGTCAGTGATGTTACGCTCTTGACTTTCTTCGGTTTTATGTTAAGACGTTAGTGATGTTACGCTCTTGATTTTCTTCGGTTTTATGTTAAGACGTCAGTGATGTTACGTTCTTGACTTTCTTCGGTTTTATGTTAAGACGTTAGTGATGTTACGCTCTTGACTTTCTTCGGTTTATGTTAAGACGTCAGTGATGTTACGCTCTTGATTTTCTTCGGTTTTATGTTAAGACGTCAGTGATGTTACGCTCTTGACTTTCTTCGGTTTTATGTTAAGACGTTAGTGATGTTACGCTCTTGACTTTCTTTGGTTTATGTTAAGACGTCAGTGATGTTACACTCTTGACTTTCTTCGGTTTTATGTTAAGACGTCAGTGATGTTACGCTCTTGACTTTCGTTGTCTTGTCCTTGGTCTTTGTCTTTCGTTGTCTTGTCCTTGGCGAGACACAGGTGCTGCGGGTGATTTGTGGGCAGATGGCGTTTTGCAACATTTTTCCATTGGAAATTTCCAGAAATCATGACAAACCCCCAGTTTTAAGGAGTTTCAGCCGACGGCGAGACAGGGGTTTTGCGCGTATGTGTATATATATATATGTATATATGTTCAAATGGTTACGTAAGTGTGTATAACTACACACATTTGTAATGACATTGATTGCATTGCTTACAAATGATACAAGAGTGATTCTTGCTTTCAACCACTCGTTTGGCATCTAGATCATTCATGGGACCAGCAAGCCTTGGAAACAGGACGCGGATCCTTTAACTGTGTACCTCTCAACGTAACGGACATATCGAGGGAATCCATGGGAATCCTACACTCTTACACCACTCACGGTAATTGTAGACCTATAGACACAGCAAAGGCCTCATAACTTCTGGGATGCACTACGGCCCCAAGACTGCACCAAGACTGCACCAAGACTGGTGAAACAGTTAACATCAGTGGATCCGCGAGGTAGTACCTGATGCTGGTGCCGTGCTTCCCACAATGTCACTTGGAAACCTCACGTCCCGGAACCCCCGCGTAAAATTCCAAGCATGAAGAAGAAAAGATGATACTAATACACAAAACAGACACCTCCAGGAGAAACTCGAAGTTCCAAAAACCATGCCCTCCAGTAAACTAGCATAGCTATGGATAATCACCCTTTTTTCATAGGTAAACCATCTACAAAAGGGCAATTTTCGATAGCCATAGCTATGTTAGATTACCAGAGGGTACATTTCCAGGGCGCCACGTTTGAGACTCCGCCTCCAGATTCACATCCTCATCATCCAGGCATTCCAAATGTGGCAGCTGCGCACGCAATTCCTGGAGGATTCCCCGTGTGTGTTGGCTGATGAACCCTATTAACTATGCATACATATACCATAAACTCTAGCTATATGAAATATGTTAGTTATATTCATTAGGTGATATTATAAACTGATAAATTAACTGAGCCAACGAACTGGGACGCCGCAAACTGTTGGCTGTGTTGGAGACTGTTTCCAAACCAACCAAGACCTGAAATTCGTCGAGGGTATGCTGCGGAATGTCTGGCCAATGTGTGGGTACCACGACTCGTGAGGAATTTGGACCCCATCATTGAGGCTTCACATGCCAAATGGGAATGTTTCAGTGAAGTATATCAAGGTTCAATTCGCGAAGTAGAAGTCGAAAGAAACATGTGAAAATGATGACCTTTTCATGTGAATGCTGACACTAATGCATGATTTAAGGCAGTCTTGATCCATGCCCGTTTCAATTGGGGTTTGTATCTCCCCTTTTTGCTGGTTTCGGCCCATTGTGTCTTGGTATATCAATACATTGTTTTTGTAAGTGTTGCCACATGAACTGGCTCTAGACTCTAGAATCATCATCGTTCCCACGATAGTCGCTCAATTTCCAGCCTTTTGAAAATTGTCACCTGGTGCTTAATCCACATGATATGTGTTTTTTTTCAGTATCTACTGTACTGTATCAGGACTCCCATTATACTGTAAATCACACAAGATCTATGATGATTGATCTTCAATGGGAAAGTTATATGAAATCTCCCATTACTCCATGATATAAAAGTGCCAGTTGGGGGTACGTTCCATTCTCAGACACACCCATATGGGTAAGTGTTATACAGTACAGTGATGTTCATCATGTCCCTACGTTAAATGAACAGAGAGAAACAGAGAGAGGGAGAGAGAGAGAGAGAGAGAGAGTATATATATATAGAGAGAGAGAGATGTATATATATATATATGTTTTCACCATCTCGGGATTCTACCATATGATTCCCATATCGCTTTTTACAGCTATGGAAATGATCCATTTGTAAATGAAAAATGATGAATTACCTATGAACAATTGTGATTTTCCATAGCTACGTTTAATAACCAGAGGGTACCATCCCCACAACTAACCCATTTTAAATTCTCATCTACCTATTGAAACCTCCGTCTATAGAAAATGATCACAAAATGATGACTTACCTAAGCTTACCCATCAAAAATCCTCATTTTCCACCCAACAAAATGGGGAAATGTCTAAATCACCAAAAAATTTTCCTACAACTTTCCCATAAACCATCCATTTTTCCCATGGTTTTTGGGTGATTTCCACTCAAAGCCCCTCCCACTTTTGGCGCCTCGCGTAGCTGGAGCCAAGCCTTGGACCTCACGGAAGGCGCCACGGGGCACCCGCGCAGCGTCAGATGCCGAAGCTCCAAACATTGGCCCAGCTCCCAGAGGTCCTGTCGGATGTTTCGTCCGAGAATTCTACGGTGGTTCATATTAGGTCATGGTAGATATTAACTAATGGTAGTAACTGGTAGTACTAGATATTAACTAACATGGTGATTTATGAAATAGTTGATTTACCTATTCTAAATGGTGATTATGAAGGCAATAATATTACCATGACCTAATATTATGTGAACTAATGGTATTAATATGAAGGCAATAGTACTAGATATTAACTAACATTAGGTATTAATAATGAAGGCAATATGATATTAATAGTAGTAAAATATGAGGTAATGGTTGATATTCATAGTAGTTAATGGTTGATATTAGGTCGTACTAACTAATTAATGAATAATGAATAATGGTACTAACTATGTGGTAGTATTAACTAATCAATGTGTTTGGGCAATAAGATTAATGGTAGTACTAACTATAAAAATAGTAAAATCAATAGAAATATAACTTAATGGTAATATTAACCCATTGGTTAACCTATTGATAAACCAATATTAGGCAAGTTGTTCATAGGACTTATTATAATGGAGGTAAGTATTGGTATAACAATTGGGAAATTTAGAGATAATAGTGACCATAATCCCATTAAAACTCATGAGTGGCATTACTTATATTACCACTATGTATCTATTTATAGTAATAGTACGGGCAAACCCCTCCTCTTGCCCATGCCATCGTCCACCATCCGAACATTAAAAAAAAAAAAACTGTGTTTTGTGGGACAAAATGCACATGTCCAGGATCGTGGCTTTCATCTTGCAACCCACAGCTTAGCAACCTGTGCGTTGAATGTTACACCACCATCATCATCATCGTCATCAACAACAACAACAACAACATCATCAACATCACCATCATCATCATCATCATCATCATCATCATCAAGATTCCCTCGAATATAAAGTTTAACGGGGGTGGGGATTTAATGATTCCCTAGAACCTCTTTCGAAACCTATTGAAGATTCCCTTGAATATATAGTTTAACGGGGGTGGGGAATCTAATGACTCCCTAGAAACTCTGTTGAAACTTGTTTAAGATTCCCTTCAACACGCCAGTCAATATCGCACTTCAATGTACTTGGAAATCCTGCAAAAGTTGTGTGTGGCCGAACCGGAGGGGTTGCGCGTAAGACGACTCTAATAATTGGTATTTTTTAACCTATCAATGATATTACGACTATGAAAAGACTGCATCACTAATTATTAGTAGTGTTGTTAAAGGGTATGATTACAATGATTAGGACCACAATTACTGTAATAATTGGCAATTTTACTATTGATAGTGCTAATCGTAACACAGTTCACAATTAAATTGTGCTAATATTAACAGTAGTATTTTTGAATAATTGTAAATAAATGTATGTTAGTAGTAACAGTAGTACAAATCATTAATATGAATATTACCACCACTAATGTTACTATAGTGTATTATCAATAGCACTGATTTGTAAGATTAACAGTGATAATATTACATGATATTGAAGCTAAAATAATGCTAGCAATATGGTAGAAAAAAATGTGGTCCTATAATAATGAATCCCAATTGTGATAATACCACGAATGATACTACTAATCATTGGTTATGTAATACTATAATAGTGATACTAGGTTTAAGTGAAAATGTACAGGAAACCTCTATATACATCGGCAATATTACTAGTGGTAATATGTGTACAACTCATTCTCAAATAGCGATAATAACCTGTTTTTTGCGTTACTAATTATATATTATCATTTCCATTACTACAATAGTGGTTGAGAGAAATCTTCAGGGTGTGCGCCAGGTGAAGGCGAAAGCGGACGCTGCAAAGGCTGCGACGCTGACACACTTTTTGGGGGGGGCTTCTCGTGTCTTGGCACCACAATATTGTCCAGCAATAGTGTTGGGAATACCCTCTGGTAAACTAACATAGCTATTGAAAATGGCTATTTATATCGGATTTTCCCATTAAAAATGGTGATTTTCCATAGTTATGTTAGTATACCAGAGGGTACATGAATATACTCTCCAACAAATACTTCTTCAAATGATGTGAAACAAATCCCCAAAGTGGTAATGGAAAACCACCCCCTGTTGACATATCCTCTTCATCTCACAACAAATCACCCATCGGCAGAATCATCCCCGGCATATCGCACAGTGGCGTCCTTTAGCTTTGTGGGGTATGGCCAGCGTCGCAGCCCGTGGAAAATGGCTCTTGTTATGTGTCCGTTTATCAACTAAATCAAATCCCCGGCCCCTTGATTTGGTGAATTTCCCCAGCACTTTCCTATGTTTGCTGCGCTGAAGTCCCCAGCATTCCAGTTCTCCGAGGCCTGGGCATCTGCCAAAGCATTGCCCTCTAGGTCCAGCACCTTCGCCACTTGCCATTGGTCAAGTTGGAAAAAAAATAGTGTAGTAACCCCCAAACAGATAGAAAAGCTTCAATGTGTTACCATGTTTTTTTTGTCTATTTTACCCATTGCTATCTTTTTGAGTTGCTATATTGTCACCCCAGCATCATAAATGGGGAATGGACGATTGACCCGTGGACTTGGGGGTGTTCCATGTCAGACAAAGCCATGAGCCACTTCAGGGTTGTCAATATTGTCCTTTTGGACAAATAGTTGCCTGTCTCTATCATTTGTCATCATTGTATATGATTTATTGGTTGTAAAGGGGTTTACCCTCTGGTAATTTAACATAGCTATTGAAAATGGCCATTTATAGTTCATTAACCCATTAAAAATGGTGATTTTCCATGGTCATGTTACTTTACCAGAGGGTAACCCCTTTGTTAATCAACCAGTCAAAAATAGGGACATCCATAGTTGCAACCATCAGAGGCAAGGCGGTTTGAAGCGTTTCGCCTCAAAGGAACCCCGCTCCAATTTTGGTGCATCTGTTTTCACACTTCGTCAGTTTCACATAAAAATTCTCAAGAAAAGGATTTTCCATTCAGAATGATCCGAGATGCTCACAATTTTGGGGTCCAACCATTTCAAAGGCATCAACCATGGTTTTCTCTAGTAAACCATTAAGAATTGCGGATTCTAACAATTGTCCAACTTTGGGTTGCCGCGCCTGCAAGTTCAACCACTTCAGTTGCGAGACATCTGCGACGTCATTGAAAGGCAGATAGAACTCCTTCAGCCCCTGGCAAAAACACAGGATTTCATGATGTTAATCTATCGGATATTGTTGGGTCATACTAGTAGGATGTTCATCAGATATTCGGATATCTATTCCATAACATCCTATAACTGTGGTGCATCTTATACATCTATTCACCTTAAATTACCTTGTAGTGTGATCAATATCTACAGGCACCTCTTAGGAAATAAGATTGATGCACCAGGCTGCAACATTGGGCCGTTCCCTTCTTAAGTAACGGCTGGTTCACGGGTCCACCAGCTTCAGCTGGGCTTATCCCATGAGATATCTCATATTATTACATAATGTTTCCAGTTCATAGATGCACAAAATTATATACATCAGATTATGGATATTATCAATATATATATATATACAGATAATATGATATTGTACCTACATAGTGTGTATATACATATATATATATACATATAATTATTATATACACTGCATGTGTATATATACATATATTATAATTAATACATATAATATACATATATAAGAATATTTGTATCATTAACATCCCCATCAAATGATGGCTTTACTCCCACATGGTGAAATCACAGCAGCGCCTCCATGAGGCCAATGCCGCTGAGATCCTGTAGCCCGCAACGTCCCAGCCACAGCACCTGTTCGTCAAGGGAAGCATGGGGAAAATGTGTCGAAAACCCATGGGAAAACCATGGGAAAACCATGGGAAAATGTGTGGAAAAGGTTTGGAAAATCAAAGTTCGTGCGTTTCCGCAAACCTAATTTTTTGTTGGGGAGGATGTTGATCTGCAATCAATGGGTTTTTCTTGCACAAATGAATCTGGGTGCTGGGTGACGAAGGATTATAGATCGGTTTTGCTGGTTGAGCTGACGTTTCCCAGTCGTAGTTTAATATACCATCTGGTTATTTAATAGTTCGCCATGGAAAATCACCATGCTTTTTTCAGAACGGTAGTCACCATCTATAAATCGATTAGGGCCATGGCTTAACCATGGCTAGCCCTGTGAATGTGGCTGGAAAACCACCCCATTTGCTTCGGTGATTTTCCCCCATCAAACCTCTATAGTTAAAGGGGATGTCCCATGAATTTCCCATGATTTTCCACTGAGATTCCCCCAAAAAAGGCCATGTTTGATGACACAAATGGTGCCACCACCTGTGCCACCACTGAGATGTCGTGATTTTGTTGGATGTGGAAGTGGATATCTAAGTCATATTTCAGGGGCAACAAAAATACACATTTAAAAACATACATATATAGATTATATAAAATCTGAAATAGATTAGATGTTCCAATCTATATACCCTCAAGTCATACAAAAAGATGCGGTAAACTCCATGGCTTTTCCGTTTGGTCACCTGCAACCGGTGGAGCTGCGCGCCCAGGTCGCGAACCTTAATTGATGATGGCACGGCCAGGATTACTATGAGATAAATATAAATAAATATAGGGGTACTATGGATTACGATAGGATTACCATAGGATTACTATATCATTAATCACTACTATAGGATTACTATGGGATTACTATACGAATCCGGTGAATTTAGCATTGCATTGATATGAACATACTATTCTTTGTTGGGGATGAGTGTCTATTCAATATATGGATTTAAATGTTGGGTCAATATGGATCAATGTATGGAGGGATATGAAGTGATATGTCATTGGGGGAATCCTCCTAAAGTTAATCAGCCAGGCGTGCAAAACGCGTCTTGATGATTAAGACACAAATAAATCCTGCGAGATTATTGGGCAGGAAAATTTTGAAGAAATGGAAAACACATGAATGTATCAATTTTCGATTGAGCATGTGATGTCAAGAGGTGTCATCCGTCAGAACCTTTGTTTAAGCTTTGGATGTGTTTTGTCCATTAGGACGGCTATCTGTTTACAAGAATTAACCATTCCAACATTTCAAGCATCGTTTCATGCTTGGGAATACCATGGAATACACCCCTAAAAAATGGAGCTTTCCGTTTTGTCCTGGGGCGGCCCACCCAATTTTTTTTCATCCAGTCATGGATGACGACATCCCCCATCCCCCATGGTTGGTCGATTGGTACCCGGTGACGTGGTGTGTTTCACCATGGTTCACCATGGATGACTTGGGATCGGAGGAAACACAGAAGTCCATTCTCCTGAGGTAACCTCTTAACAAGCAAATAACATGACAGGACTGGACATCCCGTTGTTTCCACTAAGCTTCCGCACGCATAAGATGTTGGACCTTCAACAGCTGGCACCCATGCTGGCCCATCATGGGATCAATACTTGGGCAATAAGCTGAGAAAATGCTCCCTGATGACAAGTCATTGGTAGTTGAAGGAAGACACTTGTGAGGCTAAAAAATCCTGGGTACCGATCACTTCTTACTTCGGACAAAAAAATGAACTGGTTGGTGGTTGACCTACCCCTCTGAAAATTGATGGAGTGAGTAACAGCTGGGATGATGAATTCCATTCCCAACTGAATGGAAAGTCATAATCCAGTCCATGGTTCCAAAGCACCAACCAGATATTTCATTAACCATTATTAACCACTATTAACCACTATTAACCACTATATCGGGAAACCAACCAGTCATTGTTCCAGTCAGCACCAACCAGTCATTGACGTTCTATCTGAACAAAGACCCCATTTGATCCTGGGGTCACTGGAACTTCACAGACCCCATTTGGCCCATTTGATCACAGCATCATACAGGCGCTACCAACAATGAGCTGAGCCCTCTTTTCTCACAAACAATGAGCTGTCAAATATGTCGCTTTGTCCATCTTTGTCCCCAGAATTGCGAAAAAACTAGATCACCAAAAGTCAAACAGAATTCCAAAGTTCATTGTTGGAGCTTAGCAGGGGGCAGAGCTGACGAAACAATTTGAGGACACCAAATATCGGAGGTCCTTCAGCTTCAGATCCAACTGCCTGATGTCATAGTTCCCTTCAAAGGTCAACGCCTCAAGGCCACTGGGGAGCTTCACCTTTGCCAAGCTCTGTTGAAAGTTGTATCCAAACGTCAAACGCGTTAAGCTCTCCGGCAGCACTGTGGCTTCTAAGCTCTGGTTGAAGTCCCATCCAAAGGACAAACTTCGGAGATCCGAGGGCAGATTCACTGCACGGAGGCTTCGGTTGAAGGATGATCCAAAGGTCAAGCTTTGCAGCTCCGCCGGCCAACGCAGCTTCTGCAAACTCTGGTTGAACTGTGATCCAAAGGTCAAGCTGTGAAGGCTATCAGGAAGATTTACCTCTTCCAGACTAGAATGAAATGTCCAACCAAAGGTCAAACTCCGCAGGCCACTGGGCCACTGAACTCGATCCAAACTCTGATTGAAAGAGTCTCCTAAAGCCAATTTCAGCAGACTTCTTGGGAGGTTTATATCATCTAAGCTTTGGTTGAAGTCATCTCCAAACGTCAAGTTTTCCAGTCCGCTTGGCAAAAAATCCAGCCCGCTTAGAATCTCACCATCTAAACTCAAAGACTTCAATCCAGCTGGTAGATTCACCAGCTCCAAATTGGAAGCTTCCCACAAACTCAGGTTTTGGAGTCCTGGTAGATGAACACCTTCCACGCTTCGAGCTGTGCACTCCAAAGTCTGAAGAGAAGGAGGCAGCACCACTCGCTGCAGGCTTCCAAAGTCCTCCCCCAGACTCAAGTGCCGCAAGTGGTTCGGCAGGTTGACATCATCAAGGCTCTGGTTGAATGCATGACCAAAGCTCAAAGTCTGGAGCCTGGACAGCTTCTTCAAATCGATCTTATCCAATGGCTGGTTGAATCCATCCCCGAAAGTCCAGCTCTGCAGCGAGGGCAGATTCACATGACAGAGGCTCTGGTTGAAGGCGGCGCCAAAGGTCAACGTTTCAAGCTCCGGGAGTGTCAGCTGCTCCCAACTGTGATTGAAAGAACCTCCCAGAAACAGATGTTTCAAGCCACGGGGCAGGTCCACCCCATCCAAGCTTTGCCGGAATGCACTGCGAAGTATCAAACTCTTCAGCGTATTTGGCCATAACACGCCTCGTAGGCTATGGCTGAACATGGGACCCAAAGTCAAGCTTTTCAGACTGCTGGGCAATCTCACACCCTCCAAACTCTGGTTAAAACTTCCACCAAAGGTCAAGTCTTCAAGACCACTGGGCAGATTTGCCGACGCTAAGCTCTGATTGAAGTAGAATCCAAAGGTCAGGTTTTTTAAACCAACTGGCAGATTCACCTGATCCAAACTCTCATTGAAGTCACTCCCAAAAGTCAAAATGCGTAGGCTTTGCGGCAAAGTGACGGTGCACCAGTCCAGTTTCACAGCACCACCCAGCTGAGTCAGTCCCTCCAAGGAAAGCTCATCCGTGCGCTCCCCTTGAAGGACTCTCCATGAAGCGCACAAATCAACCGGGACGTAAACATACGACAAGTTAGTGGATCCTGAGGATGGTCGCAGGGCAACGGGTTGTCTGAACATATTCATTTGGGTGTCTGGAGTCATGGGGGATCCCCAAGTCAAGAGGGTTGTTTCATCTTGTTTCAAGTCATGGTCATTTATGACGACTGGATGATGCAAGGAGCTAACCCATGACAAAACGGAAACCTCTATTGACTGGCCATGCTTCGTTTATCAGTCATCACCAGGATTTGCAAGGAGATTGATCGACTTTTTAGACGATGTTCATCTAAGTCATGCGCTCCACCTTTTCTCCAAAGACTACGTGTTGGGTGGGGGTCTTAAGCAATCTCATTGCTCACTGAAAATCCTTCAGCAGTGTCATCATTCAGCCAACCCAGCCCTGGAAATGATCCCAGCACTTTAGATGGAAATCAAATACCCTCTGGTAAACTAACATAGCTATGGGAAATCACCATTTTTAATGGGTAAATCAACTATAAATGGCCATTTCCAATAGCTACGTTAAATTACCAGAGGGTAATGTTCAATTTGTTGATGTCACCAGTTTGAAACCCTGCCACCCAATCCAAATATTAATGATCCTCAAACCAATCATTCATCACATGGGGGTGAAAGACTATGTTTCCACAAAGAACAATCATGAATAACATGGTGATAGCAATACAATAATGATATGCAATGATAGCATAAATATGAAGTATATACACTACATATATATATATATATACATCCGCCGACCCCGGCCAAGCAAGGGGGAGCGCGCCAGGGAATAGGAGGTTCAAACTCAACTCGTCAACAATAACTTCGCAACAACTCTACTGAAACACTGGGAGCCAATGTTATAAACATCTGGGGACCCTTGTGGCAAAACGCCATGTGTTACAAGCTGCGGCGGTATGAAAAGCACATCATACTGTGCTCTGCACCTGCGCGCACGCGCCGAGCACACGAACAACACCAACGCTCACACTACTATACTGTACATAACCCTTATGGTATCGGTATCGCCGGTGTGCGAAGCTCTACAATACAATAATGATATTAGTAATGATAGCAATAAATATGAAGTTACACTACATATATATAATATAACTGGTTTTTGTTCGATCTCCGTCCTGTGATACCTTGCTGTTCCAAAGTCTCCTGCAACTTCAACGGCACAGCGCCATGCTGCAGCAACAGCCGGCGCCCCGGGCGCGACAGCTTCTGCAGGATCAGCTGCTGCAGCTGCCAGCCGTTGAGGCCACGGGTGACGCTGAGCTGCAGCCGCTTGCCATGGAAACTGGTCACTTCCAGGTCTACCAATGAACCATCTGGGAGACCATCCACCATGCGACGCGAGAAATTCATGTGAAGGACATGTGGATGTTGCCAAAGCGCAAGTGGGCATGTGTCAGATAGGCAACATGGCTGATCTCTATATAATTCTGGCTTAAAGAAAAAGAAACGCGGACATGTTTGATGAACCCATACTGACATCTTTCAACCACATGATTCTGTTCGAACAATTCTACGAATGGGAGAATTCTGCAATCTGTCAGTATCATCTGGCCAGCAAAAACGCCTCAGCAAGCTTTCGCGCTTTGGAGCTGGACAATAAGCCTAGATTTCAGAAAACACACCTCCAGAGGGGCGGTTCAAGTTTGAACCACCAAATCTGGGAGGGGTTGAGTTTGCTGTGGATCATTGCGCTTCTCAAGTATTATAATCCCTGCACTCACTATGATGTATAGTTAAGTATCCCATGTCTTGCTATAGCTATTCCATAACTATCCCATATAACTATCCCATTTTCCAGCTATGATTTTCCATTGTTGGATCTACCCCACCAATTTTTTCGGCATCAAACTGACTGCGGAGCCACCGCACCTGGAGAGGTTCAGGCGCAAAAGCTGCGGAAGGCCTTGCGGAAGGTTGAGGGAATCTGGGGAATCCCAACCAAAATCCGATGAATCCGGTGGTTTATAGCACCCATAAAAATGGTGATTATGGGGATGGTTTATTATTGTTCTAACCACATTATCAATGGATTGGTTTAAGGGAAAAATTACAGGAAAGCCCCATGATCTTCATGGGAAAATCGATAGTTTCCGGTGTAGATTTTCCCTTCAAACCAATCCATTGAATGAAATACCCTCTGGTAAACGGGCTTACATAACTGTGGAAAGATCCACCATGCTATCAATGGGTAAATCCACTATTTCTATGGGCCATTTTCAATAGCTATGTAACAGTCATTACCAGAGGGTATGGATGATCTGGGGGCTACCCCCATGAATTGGAAAGCTCCATATGGTTTCAACGACCTTTGGCAGGGAGACAACATCTCCGAATCCCCTTGGGGATATTTGGGATGTGGAAACATGTGGAAACGACAGAAGGACAAACAACAAGGATTTTAAGCTTGGCAGCCGGAGTGACTCTTCAAAAGTCTAAGATCCATCACCCAAGTATGTCTGTAAAAGCACATAAATTCATAGAATGGCCAAAAAAAAAAACGACAAAAACTATACTGAGCCTTATATAGCCAGTTTGATTCGCCAAGGGAAAAACAGCATCTTTAAGGATCGCCCATGGGACTCCAACGCGGTCCGCGGTCCGCTGACTCCGGGGTCCCCAGCATCGTCCCAAGGCTTCGACGTTTTGATGCACCGAATCGACGCGAATCTCCAGGCCCTGGGCACATCTTCGGTGCTTCGGTGGCACCCATGGCAACCTCAAAACCATGGCTGTTGGAAATGGCCCATAGAAATCCGCCGACCCCGGCCGACGGCAAGGGGGAGCGCGTCAGGGCAGAGAGGTTGCAACAACACCAACACCAACACCAACACCAACACCAACAACAACAACAACAAGAACAAGAACAAGAACAACAACAACAACAACAACAACAACAACAACAACAACAACAACAACAACAACACCTTCAGAGGCATGGTGTTTTCCGCCCGGGAGGAGGTGATTTTTTCGAAGCTGTTTTACTGCCGCACCCGCAGGCAACAGAAGCTGTCGAAAAATGTTGTTTTTCCAGAATTTCAGACGACACGTTAGGCAGTTTTTTGGCGTGGTTTTGGAACTAGCTCGTCCTTCAGAAGCATGGGGTTTTCCCCCGGGAGGTGAGTTGGCGTTTCAGCGTTTCGAGTGGTGTCCATACACCAACACCAACACCAACACCAACACCAACAACAACACCAACAACAACAACAACAACAACAACAACAACAACAACAACAAGAACAACAACAACAACAACGACAACGACAACAACAACAACAACACCTTCAGAGGCATGGTGTTTTCCGCCCGGGAGGAGGTGATTTTTTCGAAGCTGTTTTACTGCCGCACCCGCAGGCAACAGAAGCTGTCGAAAAATGTTGTTTTTCTAGAATTTCAGACGACACGTTAGGCAGTTTTTTGGCGTGGTTTTGGGACTAGCTCGTCCTTCAGAAGCATGGGGTTTTCCCCCGGGAGGTGAGTTGTTCGAAGCTGTTTAGCTGCAGCAGGCGCAGGCAAAAGCAGCCGCAGGCAACAGAAGCTGTCGAAAAATGTTGTTTTTCTAGGATTTCAGACGACACGTTAGGCAGTTTTTTGGCGTGGTTTTGGACCTAGCTCATCCTTCAGAGGCAGGGTGTTTTCCCCCGGGAGGTGATTTTTTGTAGGGTTTCAGAAACAACATTAGGTACTTTTCCCGGTCACTTTTGGAGCGTTTTGGGCACGAAATTAGGTGGCGTTTCAGCGTTTCGAGTGGTGTCCATACACCAACACCAACAACAACAACAACAACAACAACAACAACAACAACAACAACAACAACAACAACAACACCTTCAGAGGCATGGTGTTTTCCGCCCGGGAGGAGGTGATTTTTTCGAAGCTGTTTTACTGCCGCACCCGCAGGCAACAGAAGCTGTCGAAAAATGTTGTTTTTCTAGAATTTCAGACGACACGTTAGGCAGTTTTTTGGTGTGGTTTTGGAACTAGCTCGTCCTTCAGAAGCATGGGGTTTTCCCCCGGGAGGTGAGTTGTTCGAAGCTGTTTAGCTGCAGCAGGCGCAGGCAAAAGCAGCCGCAGGCAACAGAAGCTGTCGAAAAATGTTGTTTTTCTAGGATTTCAGACGACACGTTAGGCAGTTTTTTGGCGTGGTTTTGGACCTAGCTCGTCCTTCAGAGGCAGGGTGTTTTCCCCCGGGAGGTGATTTTTTCTAGGGTTTCAGAAACAACATTAGGTACTTTTCCCGGTCACTTTTGGAGCGTTTTGGGCACGAAATTAGGTGGCGTTTCAGCGTTTCGAGTGGTGTCCATGAGTCGAGCTGTTGCAGCTGACGTCAAAGCGACAGGACGCGACAAGACAGTTGTCACAAAGGCAGGCAAAAGATCTTTTTTTCTAGGCTTTGAGGGCAGGCAAAAGATCTTTTTTTCTAGGGTTTTATAAAACCCGGTCCCTTTTGGAGCGTTTTTGGCATGAAATTAGGTGGCGTTTCAGCGTTTCGAGTGGTGTCCATGAGTCGAGCTCGGCAACGGCAGCAGCCTTCTAGTATGCTTCAGTTCCCTCATGTCTTCAGTTCTAGTAGGATTCCAGAAGTCAGCGGCAATGGCAGTAGCAGCGGCAGCAGCAAGTCCGCAGCAGCGGCAACGGCAGCAGCCTTCTAGTATCCTTCATCAGTTCCCTCAAGTCTTCACTTCAGTTCTAGTAGGATTCTAGAAGTCACGTTAGAGAGTTTTTTGGTGCGATCCTGTGGCCCGTTCGTCCTTCCGTGCCCTGCTGTTTTGGTGCCGGGAGGTGCTTTTGGTACACTTCTGTCAGCAGCAGCAGCAGTAAGAGCAGCGGCAGTGGCAGTAGCAGCGGCAGTAGCAAGTCCAGCAGCAGCAACAGCAGCAGCGGCAACGGCAGCAGCCTTCTAGTCTCCTTCATCAGTTCCCTCAAGTCTTCAGTTCTAGTCGGATTCCAGAAAGTCCAGCAGCAGCGGCAGTGGCAACGGCAGCAGCTTTCTAGTGTCCTTCATCAGTTAGTTCCCTCAGGTCTTCAGTTCTATCAGGATTCCAGAAGTCACGTTAGAGAGTTTTTCGGTGCGATTCTGTAGCCTGTTCGTCCTTCCGTGCCCTGCTGTTTTGGTGCCGGGAGGTGCTTTTTGGTGGCAGCAGCCTAGTATCCATCAGGTCCCTCAGGTCTTCAGTTCTAGTAGGATTCCAGATGTCACGTTAGAGAGTTTTTCGGTGCGATTCTGTAGCCTGTTCGTCCTTCCGTGCCTTGCTGTTTTGGTGCCGGGAGGTGCTTTTGATACACTTCTGTCAGCGGCAGCAGCAACGGCAGCAGCCGTCTAGTATCCTTCATCAGTTCCCTCAGGTCTTCAGTTCTAGTCGGATTCCAGAAGTCACGTTAGAGAGTTTTCCGGTGCGATTCTGTGGCCTGTTCGTCCTTCCGTGCCCTGCTGTTTTGGTGCCGGGAGGTGCTTTTGGTACACTTCTGTCAGCAGCAGCAGCAGTAAGAGCAGTGGCAGTGGCAGTAGCAGCAGGAGCAACGGCAGCAGCAAGTCCAGCAGCAGCAGCAGCGGTAACGGCAGCAGCCTAGTATCCATCAGTTCCCTCAGGTCTTCAGTTCTAGTAGGATTCCAGAAGTCACCTTAGAGAGTTTTTCGGTGCGATTCTGTGGCCTGTTCGTCTTTCCGTGCCCTGCTGTTTTGGTGCCGGGAGGTGCTTTTGGTACACTTTTGTCAGCGGCAGCACCAGCAGCAGCAGCAACGGCAGCAGCCGTCTAGTATCCTTCATCAGTTCCCTCAGGTCTTCAGTTCTAGTAGGATTCCAGAAGTCACGTTAGAGAGTTTTTCGGTGCGATTCTGTAGCCTTTTCGTCCTTCCGTGCCCTGCTGTTTTGGTGCCGGGAGGTGCTTTTGGTACACTTCTGTCAGCAGCAGCAGCAGTAAGAGCAGCGGCAGTGGCAGTAGCAGCGGCAGTAGCAAGTCCAGCAGCAGCAGCAGTAGCAGCGGCAACGGCAGCAGCCTTCTAGTCTCCTTCATGAGTTCCCTCAGGTCTTCAGTTCTAGTAGGATTCCAGAAGTCACGTTAGAGAGTTTTTCGGTGCGATTCTGTGGCCTGTTCGTCCTTCCGTGCCCTGCTGTTTTGGTGCCGGGAGGTGCTTTTGGTACACTTCTGTCAGCAGTAGCAGCGGCAGCAGCAGTGCCAGCAGCAGCAGCAGGAGCATCGGCAGCAGCAAGTCCAGCAGCAGCAGCAGCAGCCTTCTAGTATCCTTCATCAGTCCTTCATCAGTTCCCTCAGGTCTTCAGTTCTAGTAGGATTCCAGAAGTCACGTTAGAGAGTTTTTCGGTGCGATTCTGTAGCCGGTTCGTCCTTCCGTG